TTGTCATTATCCTCCCTTGTATTTATCCATATGTTGTAGATATCCTAATCATTATAGGATTAGGATAATCATCCCCTTTATTTGTAGCAATCCTTATCTCCTAAGGAATATGCTTTATTCTCTTGTATGTATATATATATGTGTAACCACGTGATTAATAATACAATGAGAGTTACAACCTTCTTTATTCTTTAACAGTTTCTTGATTTGTTTAATCGGTCTCAAACTTTTTTATTTTGAAGAATAAAAAGACGATGGAATATGAATCAGTTTTTTCGCAGAATTAATGGGTAGGAAGTATCTTTTGTTTTTTTTTTCCGGACTAAACAAACACAACCTTTGGGTCTGAACATAGTTGTTTAGAGATGGCTGGAAAAATCGATCTCGAGAAATTACCAAAAATCCCATAAATTGATTATCACTTTTTAGAAATATATTCAATTCAAAATATATTAAAATTTGGATTTATGCTTTAATGATGATTATTTAGGATTTACTCCATCCGTTTCATTTTAAATGTTATCTTAGATTTGTGTAAAAATTATTTAATTTTATATATTTTAAAATAATAATCATTAATTATACACCTACGTTATTAAAAACAATAAAAAATAAAACAGATAATATAAAAATTCATATAGCATATAAAGTTGATAAATTTAATATTAAAATTCTAAATGATCCTTATTTTGTAACAAAAATTTTACTGTACAATGACACTCATTATAAAGCGAAGAGAATAGTATTTAGGGGACTGAATTGAAATTATAAGCTCTTATAAATTCTGTGTAAATTATATTTAAACATTAATAAACATTAGTTTTGTCCTTTTCTTCACGAATTTAAAATATTTATAAAAATCATTATCTTTTAATGGTAAATTAAAAATTGGTAGCAAATCTGTGGTACAATTAAAATTCTCTCTGAAACTTTTTTTTCTAAATGTTGAAAGAATAAATTAGACCTTACATTAATTAATTATGAAATAAGAAAACTTTATAAAATAATAATATATATATATTCTTTAATAATTTAAATGAATCAAACTGATGTTTTCAGTATAAACAAATTAATAAAATTAATTTTAAATGAAGTGTATATATTACAACACATGTTAGACTAACCAAAAAGTTTATTTAGTGAAGTATATGAATCTATAAGTTGACAAAAAGATGAATAAGTGTAATTTTACTTTATCGATTTAATATTAAACAGATTAAAAGAAACATAACCTGCGTTTCATTGCGGGTTCTATACAAGCAAAATTTTTAAATAAAGCATATGTAAGTGTTGATTTAGTTTCAGTTGAGGCCTGAGGGTGATAGAACTTTGGTTTAATTAGTTTTGACTTTATATTAGGTTGAGAATTTTTTTTTTTTTTTTTTGAACACTCGGTTGAGAAATGTTTATTCTGTTAAAAATACAACTTGTTATATAAAGTTGAACTGATTAAGCTAATTAGTGAATTGCAGGCTTATCGGCCCATTAATAGTTTTGTACCTTGACTCATTGACATAATGTAGTTGTAGGTAAATTATTTTATTCTTGATCATCTTTTTATTGAGAATTTTTATTTAGTACATATTGTAGGTAGAAGAAGCTCCTTATCTATGGAGCAACTAAATTGTAATAGTGATAGACATAGAGATGATCTTGACGGAGGAAAAGTGTTTCATGCATCAGCGAGCCCTCTTCATCTGACTCTGAGAGGAGAGGCTTGAGCGGAGGAAATCTTGTTTCGCAGGTTTCGTGACAGTCCCGTTAATGAATCTCTGGTACCATTTGCCAGATTCCTTGAGGTTTCTGTCGTCAAGATCATCCCAATTAACGTAACTGAGTCCAAATCTGACGGTAAAACCTTTACAGAATTCATAATTATCTCCAAGAGCCCATGCAAAGTATCCCTTCACGTTGACACCCTTCTCTCTGAATAAAATAACAATTATATATATATATATATATATATATATATGTTACCCAAAAAGAAGAATAAAGTTTTTTTTTAAAAAAAAAAGACGATTAACATATGAAGAAAAACATGTATAGTAGCATCCACTTACTTGATGACCTTACGGAGAAAACATAAATGACTACAGAGATAATCAATTCGCTTGTAATCGGCAATAGCTTGGCAACGGTCTTCTGAACTTGGTGTACTAAATCCTAATTAAACCGCCATAACATGAAAAATATATCACACAATTTGAAAGTCAGTTTTTTGGACTCATATATCAAAATACACCAATTATCTGATGATATGCATTATAAATAAAAGAGATGAGTATTAATACTTAGAACTCACCGTTCTCCGTAACATAGATTAAAGGGTTGCCATATTTGGTTTTGAAGTAGTCCATTACGTTATATATCCCTTTTGGGTAGTAATAGCTGTTGCCGTTTGCTTTGTCTTCAACGAACTAAGAAGTGGAAGAAACCAAAATATACATATAATTCAGAAAAAAAAATCATCATCTGTAAACATAAAAAAAAAAAAAAATCATAAGGGTGGATACCAGTGGACCAATGAATTCACCACGGTAATTATCATCTGAAACACAAGGTTAAAATAACTGATGGTCAGTCACAAATTAAGTATGTTGTAACAAAAAGGAATACATATATATAAATGAGGTTGTAACAAAGTGGAAGCAGAGTGGTACATGTGAGTCCTACGCCAGCGTCCATCATGGCAGTGTGTTTCTCTGAATGTAATGGGTTAGCTTTTGGCTGGGCATACTGAGTGACATAATAGTTGAGACCAAGAAAATCATATGAGCCAGCAACGAGTTCGGCTTCTTCCTCGGTGAAATTGGGAAGCCTACTACCCACAATCTGCCTCATGATGTCTGGGTATCTACCCTTTGTTAAGGGTTCCATGTACCTGGTCGACGCATATTTTTTTTCATTATATATACATGTAATATAATCATTTTAGTTATCTAGACTACGTCTAATTTGAGTAATAGAATAACTGTTTGATATTAAATAAAAGAGATATACCATCCATGGAAGAATTCGTTCATCCTCTCAGTTGCTTCTACGCAAGAAGGATCATACTCATCATATGGAAGAAACCCTCTAGTTATCATCACAGGTCCGATCTTCCCATTTTGGGACTGTTGTTCACATGATTTATGAGTAAATTAGAATCAAATATGTTAGATTTACACCATTTTTTCACATATGGAAACTACTCACCGTATAGTTCTTCCTGTAAAGATCGACTACCGTGGCATGAGCAAGAAGCTGGTTATGTGCAACGATATAGGGTTCCGTTGAAGAGTTTCCACCGTAACACCTGTGCTTGGTATCAACCATAGGAGAACATCGTCCGGGTGCATCTGTTCCGATCGCATAGCCTCTCGTAGGCACTGTGTATAGCTGGTTGATTGTGATCCAGTGCTTCACCTTTTTGCCAAACTCTTTGAAACATAGATCCGCGTAATCTTTGAAATCTTGTCTGTGCATATTAATATATAATCATTACTGTAGTTCATGTAATTAAGACCAAATCTGCTTCTTATTTTTCTTTAATAATATATAATCTCTTCATATATAAGAAACATGGCACATACATGATCTGACGGTCCAAGAAACCTTCATACTCATCTTGGAGTGTTTGAGGAAGGTCCCAGTGAAAGAGGGTAACGAAAGGTGTTATATTCCTCTCTAGGAGGGCGTCTATGAGACTGTGGTAGTAATCAAGACCTCCCTTGTTCACTCCCCTACTCACCTTTCCTTCTGCTCAAATATATCACATTAATTAGTATACTCTTCCAACAAAATGATCTCTATAAAAATACAAATTATGTTCATACTTGGAAGGATTCTTGACCACGCAAAGGAGAATCTGTAGCCAGTAGCATTGAGTTCGCCCATAATTTCTACATCTTTCTGCAGTTTTCNTTCACTCCCCTACTCACCTTTCCTTCTGCTCAAATATATCACATTAATTAGTATACTCTTCCAACAAAATGATCTCTATAAAAATACAAATTATGTTCATACTTGGAAGGATTCTTGACCACGCAAAGGAGAATCTGTAGCCAGTAGCATTGAGTTCGCCCATAATTTCTACATCTTTCTGCAGTTTTCATATTTTAATTATAATGTCAATCAACACATATACTTTTTAAACATATATAGTTCAGTCATGAGTATCAATCAATGTATTCACCTTCCATCTCGTATATGACTCACAAGTAGTGTCTCCATTCTTCAAATCTGACCCAGCTTTCTCTGATAGTAATTACAAATACATTAATATGTGTGCATATAACTGACATTCCTCTTATATATATATATATATATATATATATAGATGTCACCGTGCAAACAACATATATACCTGGGTATCGATGACTGAAGCCATCCCAAATGTTTTGACCACGACCTCTGCCTCCTTCGATCTGAAATGAAAAGAAAAAAAATAATGCAAAGGTTGATATTAGTGTGCTTTGAATCGTATGCATTTATACTGGAAAAGGTATAGTTTGACAACATATGTTACATGCCTGGTAAGCAGAAGATGCAACACCGAAGATGAAGTCTTTTTCGAAGTTCTTACTGCTTAATATATCAGTGTTACCACATGTGAATGGATTGTTCTCTTCGCAAGTAATTTCTTCATCAGCTTTGCAGCTCGCAGCAGCTAATAGAAAAACTAAAGCGAGGCCATGAAGAAGCTTCATGGTTAATATGTTGATGTATGTGCTGTGTTGTATATAATCTTGTGCCAATATAGGGTTTATATAGCCCTTCCTAAAGAAGAGTAAAGTATTCATTTTCTTGTCTTAGTATCTTGACATTTTGGGGAGGTTAAGGTGGGATCATGAGTCCCGTGGGTTCACTTACTTTACTTCAACGTTCACCGATTTTTGATATATATAATTATTTTGTTTCCACTTTTCAGTGTGGTTTTGGTGCCGGTCCAATATTTTCATTTTTTATGCCCTAAACTAACCTAAATTTTATGTACTTATTATTTATATAATTTTTTTTATAGTGCCTTATATGTAATCAAAATTATCATTTAAAATCATGACGTCTTAAGCGGTTGTTTACCTAGTTTATGTTACGAGCCGGTCATGGCTCTCTCTTCAATCGACCATTTCTTTGTGAAAAATTCAAATGCTGCATGTATATATATTTGCGCGAAACTCATGCATTATCAAAATTTGTTGCGGTAAATAATGTTCAAAGCTTCGTCAAAAGGCCATAAAATTTTATGTACTTATTATTTATATAATTTTTTTTATAGTGTCTTATATGTAATCAAAATTAGCATTTAAATAAGCGGTCGTTTACCTCGTTTATGTTCCGGCCGGTCATGGCTTTCTCTTCAAAGCTTCGTGAAAAGGCCATAAAGTTATTGTAGATTTTTTTTCCAAATATTATCAAAGTGTTGATTCTAGAGTAACACTGATCTTATGACCACACTAATCACGAGCCTCACCGCTCACAATCACAGCATATCTTGTTGTTATTGACCTCTCGATCTCTATATATGATTTTATCACATGAGATCGGAGTCTCAAAAAGACAAAAGAAAAGGAAAACAAACCACATTTTATTTTGTTTCCAAGAAATCGTGAGTTTTTTTGTTTTTTTTTGAGAAAGAGAGAAATCGTGAGTTCTGTATAGATAAGATCAGTTTTTAGTAAAAACAATATATGTTGACAAAAAAAAAAAGATGAACCAAGCAAAAATAAAAGAAGATAATGGACGTTTCAATGCGGGTCTTACCCTAGTATAAACTTAATTTACAACATATGTAAATTTTTATTTAGTTTCAATTGAGGTTGATAGAATTTTGGTTTTATTAGTTTTTAATTTATACTAGGTTTGATGATGGGTTTTTCTTTGAACTTTGCTTTAATTAGGTTGGATTATGGTTTATTCAGTTAAAATTACATCTTATTATATAAAGTTGAAATTATTAAAATAATCAGTAAATTGTAGACTTATCTGCCTATTATTTTTGTTACACTAAGTTATTGGTTTAAGAACTCTAAAGGAACTAGATGATGCGGGCATAACTATCATACAATATTTACATATACATTATTGATTCAAAAATCATCACATTATCAATTATATTGCCTCAACTATATGTTAGGTGAAATCTCCCAGAAATCTTCATCAGTGACTTAAACCTTATCACAATTTTTTTTGTTACATTTAAATATATATTTCGTAAGAACATTTTTTATGCATAATGAAAGTATATGATATAATTTCGTCTAAACATTTTTATACTAAAAACTGATAATGACTATTGTTTCAACTAAAATTAATGAATAATTCTAATATATTAATTTGATATATATACCAGTTTTATTAATTATGGATATTAACATATTAATTAATATTTTATAGAAAGGTGCTATATAGCTAAATATTAATTCTCTTACTTGGTTATTATTTATGCACGTTTACCTTTTATTTTTGGGTGATTTTTATTATTATATAGGAATATATAACTAACTACCTTATGAATAAATCTCTTTACTTAATTATTAAATAGAATAAATAAATATAATTATTTATTAAATGTATAATGGTTCTAATTACTCTAATTTTTAATGTGATATTTCAGAACAAAAATATAATTTTGCAACTAATATATACTAATACAATTTTACATTAGAGTATATTTGTTTAATTAATTAACTAATAAAATCTGTGAATGGTATCATGACCGGAAAACAAGTCAGTACAAAATTTCATACCATGTTTTAAATTTGAGCTCATACACTTTTCATTTTCTTGGATTCATACACTTTTAATTTTTATAAGACCAAGAATTTACATGTACACCATAGGTTTTTCTTTTTAGCTATTGAGATAGAGAATTTAAGGTGGCCAGCATCGGGAAAGTTTACCTTTGACACTGCACAAAATAAAAAACAAATAAGAAAATACAAGTTAGAAAATAACAAGGGAGAATTTCAATTATACCACTTTGGTGGTACCACTTTTCATGTTTACCATCAATAAAGGAACATTTTCAAAAATACACATTTTATTAAAGGATAAAAGACTCTTATATTCGTGTTCTTTATATATATACATAAAATAAATATTTAATAAAATATTAACCCTAAACCCTAAAACATCAATTTTAAACTCTAAACCCTAAAAAGTAAACCCTAAACCCTAAAAATCAATCCTAAACCTTAAAATATCAATTCTAAACCTTAAACTCTAAACTCTAAACCCTAAAAAGTAAACCCTAATCCCTAAAAAATCAACACTAAAACCTAAACTATCAATCATAAACCCAAAACCCTAAATCCTAAATTCTAATAGTATTTTGACTATTAAAATTTTAATGGTAAAGTTGGTTAGTGTAAAGTTAAAAAGTGGTATCTTAAAAGGGTTATTTCTCGCAATTTCCCAAATAACAAACGTACAAAACTTAGATCTAACGTAAGAAAAAACACAACAAAATAAGAATACACACACCAAAAAAAAAAAAAAAAAAACTAACAACTAAGAACAAAGCAAACAAAAAATCTGAACAAAAATAAATCGAAGTAATGACACCCAAACAAACAAAATCTAAATTTAACGAATGACAACCTAACAAAAGAGTACACATTCTACAGCAAACCTGATTAAAGTAAACGGAATACTACATCCCTGCATTCACTCAACCTTCTCATGATTGGAGCAAGTTTTGCTTGAGGAGAGTGGACGACATCTTCTACGTCTGTCTTTTACGCTCTTTCTCGTGATTTGGGATTTTCTTCTTCTTTTTTTTGTTCCTTGGAAAAACCTAATCCCCTAAGTCCAAAATATACCAAAATAGTGATGCTACAAACTAAAGGAAACTCAGTCGAAACATAAGAGAAAACAATTATAGTAATCTAGACAATAAAATCCCTCTTTTATCTCCACAACCAATAAGGTTCAATGTGAACAAAACGAGAAAGAACCACATAATAAAAAAATACACATAAGATATCACAAGCAATAGGAAGTCAACCAAAATGATATAAACTAAAACCTAAACATTTAAGCGGAGATGAATAGATTTTATAATAATATGAACCTTAGCCTTGCTGATAACCTAAAAAAAAGATCTTAACGATGGAGAAGTTTCAAACTCGTATGAGCAAACATATAATAATTTTTTAAATACATACTAGGTGTTTTGCCCGCACTTGCGGGCATAATTATCTTATGAATATTTATTAGTTGATATTTCATTAATTTAAAAATCAACATAATAAGTTATTATTTATGTTTTCAAAAAGTACAAATCAAACATCAAATAATTATCAATGACAAAAACTCAAACATCAGAAATATTTAAAATAATATATTTCTATAATTACTTTTCTTGATTTATATTTATTTATAATATTTATACAAATACTGTTACTTAATTTATATTTAATTATAATATTTATACAACTATATTTACTTAATTTCTATTTATTTAATATTTTTTTATATTTTAATTTAGAAAACATATTTTCAGGATAACAATATAATGCATAAGTTATTTATTTTCTAAAAATATAATATTATAGATTTTTTTAATTATATAATATTAAAGAAATTATGATATATAGTTAAAATTATCTAAAATCATGGAGCACTTAACGAATCAACAAATTCACTTCTAAATATTTTTTCTTGAGTGATGAATAATATCTAATTAATAATATATAATTTTCTATTTTACTTTTAAATTATATGATATAAAATATATTTTCAAGATAACAACATAATACATAAAAATTACTTTATTTTATAAAAGTATAATATTATTAGTGTAATTTTACTTCAATTATGGAATAACTACAATTTCTTATACCTTAATTTTAAATTTCTAATAGAAAAATATATTTTTTCAAGACATCAACTTAATACATAAGAAGTATCCTATTTTCTAAAAATCTGATACTATTAATATATTTTTTTTTTAAATATATAATAAATTATATATAAAATCATAGAAATTATGATAAATTATCAAATTACCTAAAATGATTGAAAATATGACAAATCAACAACATCAAATTCATTTCTTAAATAATAGTATAGATCTTTTACATGTTAAATTTTATAATATAAAAATATATTTTCAAGATAACAGCATAATACATAAGAACTAACTTATTTTATAAAATATCATATTATTAATATAAATTATTTTTAATTCTATAATCAATAATAAACAAAATTAGAGAAATTATGATAAATGATCAAAATTACCTAGGATCATGGAGATAACAACATATTTACTTTTCAAATAATTGTTTTGATGATTTATATTTAATTATTAATAATATAATTTTTATATCTTAATTTCAAGTTTTATAATAGGAAAATATATTTTCAACATAACAACATAATACATAAGAATTATTTTATTTTAGAAAAATATAAAATTATTAATATAAATTCGTTTTAGTTATATAATAAATAAATAATTTTCATATCTTAATTTAAAGTTTAAGTTTTATATATAAAATATATTTCAAGATAATAACATAATTCACAAGAATTATCTTATTTTCTAAAAATATGGTACATTCATATAAATTTGTTTATCTATAAATAAATTATATATAAATACTAAAAATATGATAAATAAATAAAATTACCTAAACTTAAGGAGAACATGACAACTAAGCATATTTACTTCTTAAATAATAGTATAGATTATAACCTGGCA